CACTAAAACTATGGGTCTAAAGAATTCCAATTAAATACATAGTTTTAACTTATGTTCCCAGTTTAAACATGTCTTAAACAGGTTTCCGCTTCTGGCAGACATCTGAGCATCAGTTGCTGACCACAGCCTGCTCCTAAAGACTGCGAGCCCAGTTCAGCTGATGTGGACACCCCTGCCTCTTCAACAGAATCTGCCAACCAAGAGCTTTGATAGATACCCCATTGCCTGAATTCCCTTTTTGATTTTGACCAGCATTTCAGTCTTTTTGGGCCCCTAACTGTGTCCCAAAGTCATCAGGAAGTAACGCAGGAAAGAATACATTGCCCCTTTTTCCTGGTTGAGATGCTAAGTCAAAAGGAAATTCCTTGATAGGGAACAGTATGACAACAGATGCAAATGTCACTCCCTCAGAAAATTCTGTCAGCTACTGGCAGGGCCTGTTAACACCCTTTGAGCCCTTAACAGGCAGGCAGGACTCAGGATTGCCATGGGTACTCTGGGAAGGGGAGAATGAAGGGACCAGCCCCCTCCCATTTTAGCAGCCATGACAGGCTAACATGTGCTCATCTGACCTTGCTGCTCCTGTACTGGTCACTATGAGGTCAGTGAGCAGCCCCCTCCAGGGTCTCAGCTTGAGCTCCTGCCGTCTGAGTTCCTGTCCTGACTTCCCTGGATGATGAACGACAAACTGTAACATGAAATAAATCCTTCCCTCTCCCAGTTTTTTTGGTATTTTTTGGGGGGGGGGATTTTGGGTCATGGGATTTCATCATTGTAAGAGTTACAAAAAGACAAACAGGGACTTGGGACAGTGTTGGAGAATAAGCATCACAAAACAGTGACAACCCAGAAGGTGGGTAAAGACGTAGAAACAGTTAAAGATCACAAGACCTGAGGGAACTAGCCACATCTTAAAAGTGTCACACTAACAGATGTAGCTGAAATCTCAACTCATAAAATCTGGTTCCTAAAACCAAGAGACAGTAACAATGTGGAAAATCCATACAATCCATCTTCAGCCAATGTGGATGGTAACACTCCCACAGTGACAAACAACATACAACTGGTCCCCAGGGACAGGAGAGGTGTGAGTTACTGAGATATGTGAGAGCCAGGAATAGAGAAAATGTTGTTTTTAAACCATTTATTTTTAATCACGTGTATGCATATATGCCTTGTGTACGAGTACATGAATGCACTTGCCTATAGGATCCAGAAGAGGGCGCTGGATCCCTCGGAGCTGGAGTTACAGGTGGACATGAGCCACCAGTTTCAAGTGCTAAGAGCCATCTCCCCAGCCCTAAGAGCATCTTTAATGCATGAGTGAAGGTGTGTGGAGAAGTCAAAGTGTACGAACTTAATAACGAAGTGAGTGGAAGGAAAATGTGAAGTAACATTAGGAATTCTTAAAGTTATCAATAAAAATCACTAGATGAGAAAAAACACGTTTTTCTAGTGGATTCAAAGTTATATAAAGGGCCTTAATGCTGGTTTTCAGGAGGCAGAGGCAGGAGGACCGTGAGTTCCAGCCCAGGCTGGTCTGCACAGTGACACGTACGCATGTGTTCACACCCCATCTCCAAACAAGAACCACAGGAAGTGGAATTAAGAGACAAAACGATGATGGCTCAGGGGCTGGCAAGGGTGCCTGCCCAGCATCTGTGATGTCTGCCTGGCTGGGATACACAGGAATCCAACAAGATCAGAAGGACAGCTTTCATCCCCACAGGGTTCTCTAGCACAAAACCACCGAACCTACAAAGTCTGTAGTGGCATCTGGCCTTGCCAGTGAACTTGTAGTGGTGGCCACACCCTTTGGGTGTGGTTTCAAGTTCAGACATTATCTACCATTGTAAGGTAGAGGAGGGGCTGGCTCCAGCTCTCTTAGGTTGTGGAGAGCATCTGAAGAGCAGGAAGACAGCTGTGGTTATTTACTCTGACCTGTGTTAAGTTCCCCTCCCAAATAAATACCTAATTATCATTTCTCTTGGGTCTGGTGGACTCATTTAAACTCCGCCTTCAAAAGTCGGCATTGAACTGAGAAGAAAACAGGAGTCCAGGAGACAAGGACTTGTGGCGCTCACAGCTCCGCTGAGAAAGTGTAGCCACCAAGAGGAAAACCACTTGCCAAGACGGCAAAGTCCACTGCAGAAATAGTTTAACACCCAGCAAAGACCAAAAACCTCCACGGTTGTCTAGAGATAGTTTTCACCCATAAGACTTCTCACAACAGTGTTTAAATTTTTAATTGCTGCCGAGCAGTGGTGGCGCACGCCTTTAATCCTGGCACTCGATGCAGAGGCAGGCGGATCTCTGGGAGTTCAAGACCAGCCTGGTCTACAGAGAGAGTTCCAAGACAGCCTCCAAAGCCACAGAGAAACCCTGTCTCGAAAAACCAAAAAAAAAAAAAAAAAAAAGAAAGTACTAAACGTTTGCTTAAGAAATGTTCAGAATCCAGGTTATCACATTTTTCCAAAACTTAATTCTTCCTGGGTTACTCTTTATTCTAAAGATCATATGGGTGGGGCTGGGGGCTGGAGAGCTGGCTCAATAACTAAGAGGGTGTGCTGCCCTTGCAGAGGACCCGAGTTCAGTCCTCAGCTTCAGCACCAGGCAGATCACAACCACAACTCTAGCTCCAGGGGATCTTATGCCCTCTTCTGGACACTGCAGGCATTGCACTCACATGCACATACCCACATAGGCACAAACACATTTTTAAAAATAATTTTTAAAAAACCTTTAAAAACAAAACAAAAGGAGCCTGGAGACCAAAGACGAGGAGCTCCTTGTTCTTATGGTCAGGGCCTGGGCACGGAACCTGCCTTCAGGCACCAGCTTCTGCTCCGACCTCCCTACTCACCAATGTCTTCAAGCATTTTCTCAGCTCTCAACCAAGACTGTCATTGCAGTGATCAAACAATTCCAAAATGTCTGTGTCAGCTGTGGGTGCCACAGGCTGGTGACTCCATAGAAAGACAACCGAAAGAACTAACTTCTAAGCCGGTTCAGAAATCACATGAGCACAGAGAGGGACAGAATCCCTTATTTTGAGTTGCATCCCCTTGAATCATCAAATAGAAACCATGCTGTGGCCGAGTATGAAAGCTCAGTCCAGCACAGGGGAAAAGGGAGCTAGTGGCCCTGAGTCACAGCACTGGTGAGAGGCTGGGGTCTAATGTCAGCCTGGTGAGGAGTGACTAACGCCCGTCCTGGCTGCCTGTAGCTGGCTGCGGCTCCCCAGAGTACCAATGTCACACGCACCGCAGCCTGGACCATGTCCCCTACAGTTGTACAGTGACCACAGTCCACTCCGGATCCAGCGGCTCCTCAGTCTTCTGGGGCCCTTGTCAGTGTGTGCCATTCTGTCCTTCCTTGTCACAATTTTTTAATTCAAAAATTCAAAGATGAAGCCGGGCACTGACGACATACACCTTTAATGCCAGCACTCGGGAGGCAGAGGCAGGTGGATCTCTGTGAGTTCGAGGCCAGCCTGGTCTACAGAGTTACACAGAGAAACCCTGTCTCAGAAAAAAAAAATTCAAAGATGATTCTCATGCAAATATCTCTTATTGGAGTAAAACAGAAACAACCTTTCTCACACAGTCCTACCTTGGTTACTGTTTTTATTAACTACTTAGTAAGCATAGTGCCAGATAACCCCTGGAGACTAAACACTCTGGGGCCCCTAAAATGTGATCGCTGCACAGGAAGCTGAGTTCTCACCCTGACTGACTCAAGAGAAAAAGTTTAACAACCTGTGGCAGCAGGCGAGAGGCCTGGCTCATTCACAGTGGCTCGTTGTCGGCTCCGAGAGAATTACTCTCAGGTTGACAAGACGGCTCAGTGAGTGAAGGCAGCGGCCACCAAGGCTGTTGCTCTGAGTCCCGCCCTTGGGACCCATGTGATAGGGGGACATAGCCAACTCACATAAGAGTTTCCTGACCTCCACAGGTGCACACTGTATCACACATGTACATACCTCTACCCCAAGCAAATAAATGTAACACACAAAAAGAATTACCCCCAACGATCAAGCGAAACACACTCACTTCTGACATCTAAAAAGATGTAGAATAGCCCGGGAGGTGGGCTCGTGGGTCCCATCTCTCTCTAGACTTGAGTATCTTCTACAACTTTTACAAAGCACTGCAAACTTCCTGTCTCACCCCGGGCCATCACCATGCATGCCAACCTTCCAGACTCTAAGACACCCTGTGCCCAAAGAAACGTCCATCCTTGCATCAGAACCTATTTCTTGTTTTGGTGGATGTCGGCAACAGTTTGGAAAATGCCACTTGAAGATTGTCACATGCAATTAGGTCAATTATTTGTAAAGAATTAAGATGTGACAGTCTCCACAACCAACATTTGATAACTGCAGAATCAAAGAAGAAGAAGAAGAAGAAGAAGAAGAAGAAGAAGAAGAAGAAGAAGAAGAAGAAGAAGAAGAAGAAGGCTGCAGTGCCCAGTGGCCAACAGTGTCCCCTGCACACTCTAAAACGACAGCAAGTAACAGCACAGCAGTACACGGATGCCCAGATGTCCTTTAGTTTCCAAGTACCGTCACTTACCACGCATTCTCCTCAGTACCCGGGGGATAGCCCACTGGCTGCTTGGTAAGGCCATCATAACCAGACGTCTTTTGTAACTGTTGAATAACTCATCTTAGAAAATGCCCCAAACTCTCTGACCCCAAGAGTCCACACCTGTAGCAATCACCTTTCCCTGAGTTACTGATTGATTTATAATTACCTAGTCATACCCAACATGGGCACCTACTGATGGTATGACAATATGAGTCCCACCACAAAACAAATCCATACTAGGTACATTCTGGAATATACCAAGCAAGCCTTGGGAGCAAGTTGAACGGACAGCAATTCTTTAAGACAAAACCCAGAAAGTCGGGCGGGCTCTGAACCATTCGAGCGCAGGGCTTCCTGCACCTGGAGACCCGAGCCAAAGCCGAACCCTTTAAGGCGTGTGCACTTACTTACCTTAAGAGGAGTTCCTTGGGTAACTTCTTGTTGATAAGGCCGTCATCATTGTTTGAGAAAACCTGCAGGAGAGAGAGAAACTGAGACGCAGCTCTTCAGCCCAATGCATGGAAGAAAGTCTAAGTCACACGTGTCTACGCTTGGTCAGAACAGCACCACTCACTGGCCTACAGAAGAAAAAAAGAGCTGCACACCTGGAGTTCAGCTCCCAGCACCCACACCAGCAGGCGGCTCACAACCAGCTGTCACTCCAGCGCCACACGACCCAACAGCCCTGGTCTCTGTGGCACCCGCACACAGGTGCATCTGCCACCCCAACCCTGACAAACATGCATACATAACTAAAATGAATAAAAAGTGAAGCTTTTTAAAAAGGCCACATACGGCCATTTGTGCACTCATTGTACTGGTGGCTCTGGTTAGCACACAGCAGGAGAGACAGAAGGCACGAGGGGCAGCCTCCATTGTATGGGGACACATTAGAAACCCTCAGAAGCATCCTAACTGGCCAAAAAGTTCAGTGAGGTTATACATTTATATAAAAAAAGAGATTATACAGTTTTTCTTGTTTTTGTTTTTGTTTTTTGTTTTGTTTTGTTTTGTTTTGTTTTTTTGTTCTTCAAGACATGGTTTCTCTGTATAGCTCTGGCTATCCTGGAACTTACTCTGTAGACCAGGCTGGCCTTGAACTCATAGAGATTGCCTGCCTCTGCCTCCCAAGTGCTGGGATTACAGGTGTGTGCCGCCGCCACCACCCAGTGAAATTATACACTTTTAAAGATTAATTATGTGTGTATGTGTGTGCACATCTGAGTGCAGCACTCTAGGAGGCCAGAAGAGGGTGTCAGATCCCCAGAGCTGGAGTTGTGGGCAGCTGAGAGCTGTCTGCCCCAAATGGGTGCTGGAAATCAAATTCCAGTTCTCTACAGGAGCAGCCAGTGCTCTTAACTGCTGAGTCATGTCTCTGGCTTCATGAAAACATATTTTAATGCATTAGTAACAGACAACTTGGAAATGATTTCTTAAAACACAATCAAACTTATATGACATTAAAATGAATAGAAATGAATAAAGTACTCCAAAATGAATTTGACCAAAAAGAAATTTGAGTTCCATACTGAAACTGTATTCTGGATTTGGAAGATGGCTCAATGGGTCGGACAGCTTGCTGTGCAAACAAAAGATCAGAGTTTGAATCCCAGCACCCACATGAAGCAGCCAGGTATGGCTGTGAGTGCCTATAACCCCAGCACTGGGTGATGGTGAGTTCCAGCTCATTGGCCAGCCAACCTAGCTGGACCAGTGAACTTCAAAGCTCATTGATTCTGTCTCAAGAGAATTAGGTGGAATGTGATGAGGCTACTCAGCATCCTCCACTGGAGTATGCTTACACGTGAAAGGCATCCACATACACAGGCATACACCACACACACACACACACACACACACACACACACACACACACACCAAGTATGTTAGTTGTAATTCTGTTCAAACTTATGTATCTGTGTGTGATGATTTGGATGAAAATGGCCCCAAAGGCTTATAGGGAGTGGCAGGCACTATTGGGAGGTGTGGTCTTGTCAGAGGAAATACATCACTGCAGGTGGGTTTTGGAGTTTTGGAAGCCCAAGCCAGGCCCGGTGTTACTCTCTTGTCCTGATGCCTGCCAATCCAGGTGTAGAGCTCTGGGGGTACAGCTCAGTGGTAGAGCATTTGACTGCAGATGTAGAGCTCTCAGCTGCCTCTCCAGCTTGTGTGGGATGCCTGTGTGACACCATGTCACACCATAATGACAATGGACTCAACTTCTGAACTCTAAGCCCCAGTTATATGCTTTATAAGAGTTGCTGTGCTCCGTCTTTAATCCCAGCACTTGGGAGGCAGAGGCAGGTGGATCTCTGTGAGTTCAAGGCCAGCCTGGTCTATAGAGTCAGTTCCAGGACAGCCTCCAAAGCCACAGAGAAACCCTGCCTCAAAACAAACAAAGAGTTGCTGTGCTCAGGGTATCTCTTCACAGCATTAAAAACCCTAACATGTGTTCATGCGTGCAATTGTTGTGTGCAGTACCCACAGAGGCCAGAAAAGGGTACTGGCTCACTTGAAACTGGAGTGACAGGCAGTTTGAGCAGACATGGGTGCTGGGAACTGAACTCAGGTCCCCTGAAGAAGCAATCTTACCAGTGAGTCATCTCTCCAGTCCTAAAAATAAGTTTTTAACAACAAAGCTACAGCAATTGGAACACTGAAGTCCTGGCATAACTAAGGCAAACAGATGAAGTGAACAGAACTGAAAGCCCAGATACAAACTCTTTTTCGGGTTGTTTCTCTGTGTAGCCCTGGGTGTCCTGGAACTCACTTTACAGACCAGGCTGGCCTCGAACTCACAGATCTGCCAGCCTCTGCCTCCGGAGTGCTGGAACTAAGGACGAGCACCACCACCATACACCAGCTCAGATACAAACTCTTACAGCCAGGAGCCATTGATATAAATGGGGGGAAAATCTTTTCAAGAAATGTGCTGGGACAATGGGGCCTCATGAGAACATGGGCTAGTTTACCTCCACCATACAGAACTCACTCCAAGTGGAGGCGTGTGACATAAACACCGGATCAACAGCTGCAACCTCTGTGTTGTGGGCTCTGTGATAGTTTGAAGCTATGATACCAAGACCACATATAACCAAAATAAATGTCAGTAAGGTGAACTTCATTAAGATTAAAACCTTCTTGATACAAAGGGCATCATTCAGAAAATGAACTCTCCTGTAATCCCAGCACTTCAAAAAAGAGACAGAGGCAGGAGGATTGCCACAAGCTTAAAGCCACACTAACCTATAATGGAAGTTTCAGGCCACACAGAGAGACCTTGAGGGAACAGGGGTGACAGAGATAGAGACGGAAACTGATGAACACTCAAATATTTACAACAACATGAAAGGGGTTCCAGGATACATACCGGACTCTCAACCACAAAAAGGCAGGTCAGTTCTGGGGAGAGGCTCAGTGGGTAAGAGCACTGGCTCAGCAAGCATGAGGACCTGAGTTCAAATCCCCAGCACCCATGTTAGAAACCAAGTATGGCTGAGCATGGCCATAACACCAGCACTGGGGAGGGTGGTGATGGAGACAGGCAGATCCCAAGAGCTCCCTGACCAGCCAGCCTGGCTGAATGGCGGGCTTCAGGTGCAGTGCAGGACCCTGTGTCAAGGCAACAAGGCAACAGGGTGCAACACTCAACACGCTGCTCCGGCCTCTGCATGCATAAACATGAGCACCCTCCCACTCATGTGTGCGCATCTCATGACACAACAAAAGACCGCCCAACGGGAGAACTGGCAAAGTAGCCGGGTGTGATGCTATGTACCTGTAGTCCCAGCTACTTGGGAGGTTGGGGCAGGAGGAGTCGCTTGAATCAGGATTTTGAGACAGCAAGACCCATCCCATAAACAAACAAGGGGTGCACCTCAGCTGATACCGCGCTTGCCTGAGCCCTGGTTTTCATCCAGGCTGTAAACTGGTTGGAGCGTGGTCAGTCCACAACCCTGGCATTTGGGAGGTAAAGGTGTGGGCATCAGAATGAATGTGGGGTTTAAATGAGTCCACCAGACCCAAGATTAATGATAATTAGTTATTTATTAGGGAAGCACTTACACAGATAAGAGTAAATAGCGGTCATGGTCTTCCTGCTTCAGAAGATGCCGTCTCTGCCCTTGTGATGCTCTCTGCAACCCAAGAGAACACGAGCTAGCCCCTCCTCTACCTTATAATGGGTCAAGTCTGCACCTGAAACCACGCCCAAAGGGTGTGGCCGCCACCACCACAGGTACACTGACAAGCAAGATGTCACTACACCAGATCATCATCAAGGTTATTCTCAGTTACTCAGCAAGCTTGAGACTAACCTGCAATACATGAGTCACTGTTCGAAACACATACAAAAAACAAAAACAAAACAAAACAGAGCCCAATTATGGTGCATGCCTTTAATAAAAGCACTTGGGAGGCAGAGGCTGGTGGATCTCTGTGAGCTCAAGGTCAGCCTGGTCTAGAGTGAAACTCCTATCCCAACAAACAAACAAAACAAGCTTCAAAACTCAACTACTTGTTATTCATGGGCAGATAGCTTTGTGGGGCTCACTCCTACACCAGGAGACCCAGTGCCCTCACCCGGCCTTCTTGGGCATCCAGGCTCATGTCCATATACCCACACAGAGACACACGGACACAGAACTAAAAGTAAATTTCAAAACAACCAAGCAGCCTGTGCCTGAGGCCATCGCAGGTCTCAGCAGGAAATCACTACGACTGTTCTAACAGGAGACAGATCCCCTTCCAAACATGTCTGTTTATGCCACAGATCAGCGATGCTGCCAGCTTCACTCAGAGAGCTTATTCTTGCCCTGGGCAGACTGCGGACGATCATTGACTGCTGAAAGTTGAGCCCTAAAAGACACTGATGTCACCCCCTCCAATGTTCAAGGAGCATGTGTTGGGGGAAGTCCTGTGCATTTGTCAATAAAGACTGTCTGGCCAATAGGAATCTAGATAGGTGGGACTAGGAGTCCAGGAAGATTCTGGGAAGGAGAAACACAAGAGAGTCAACATGTAACACCATGGGGTAGGAGCCCAGAACTATTCTCCGGTAAGAGACATACTTAGATTAACAATTATGAGGTAATTACTTAAAGCAGAGCTAGCCAGTAAGAAACAAGCAAGGCCAACAGCTTCATAATTAATACAGCGTCTTGTGTGTTTATTTGGGACTACAAAGCGGCAGAGCCCAGGCAACTGGCGGGAGATAAACCAAAGCGGCTAGCAAAGAAAAAGCTTCTCTTAACATAATGGTGATCAGGAGTGGGATCATGAATTTCCACGCAGAATGACAAAAGCTTTAAAGGAATTTTAGAAACAGAAGAACGGAGAGACACACAGATTTTTGGTAGCAGCATTTTCTCAGGCGGCTCTGTTTTGTTAGCAGCAAGCAGAGACTCGCGGCTGGCTTAAGTTAGCCTTCCTGACTCGGCATAAAAAGGAAAAAACCCAGCAAGGTTCTTTTAAG